TGTAGGGGAGTTGATAACGTAGGAAGAGAGGGACTGGTAAATTGAATTGATTTCAAGCCTCCGGAATTTATCGGTGTATGTGTTACCCGAGGAAGATTGCATGAAAATGGCAATGTTTATTTCAGAATTGTGTTGAGCAAATATGAGTTTTCTCCAGATGATCAAACCGGCATAGATTTCCTATTGATGAAAAACCAATGTGCCCACGAACCACCCATATACATGTTTTCGATTACGAACCGCTGGTTGAAAAGAATTAGACGAAGACGATTGAAGTTTCCCTTTCGATCAGTGTAGCGAAGGTATTGTCGTGATGTGGTATAGCCGCTTACGAGAAACTGGAACTGGGTTTATTCGAACAAGGATGCCAAATTAAACAAAGCACAAAAATTTATTGCCGAAGGTCGCGACGTAGCCAACGCAAAAATATATGATGTGCAATAGCTTACAGTTGAAGCAGGCGCTTGGAGTTCAGGCTATCTGTTAGTAAGGACGGCTGAGAAAGCCGGGTACGTAAACAAAGTAATGTAAGAACAATTTTATAGTTAAGTTCTGTTGTGTGGGTGAAATGAATCCTTGGTCTTACAAACTATGAATCTAATGTTTAGTTTACGGTCAAGATATCATGCCATAATCTTCGATAGGCTTGACACACGATCTGGAGAAGTTTAGAAGTCAATTTATCTGGTAACAATTAGAAAATTAGGGAGAGCAGAAACAGAGTGTAAAGTTTAAGAAATAAAATAGATACCCCTATTTGAACCCGGCAGCCTTCCTTTGAAAACTACACTTCATTTAAGTCGTTTCCTTTAGACCCTCAGTTACTTATTTGTCGTTAATAAGAAATAAGTAGCCAGTTTTCTATCGACCTGGAGCCATATTAAAAGTGAAAACAATTTTCTTTCTATGTATTATCTGTTGTACCATTGATAATGAAAATATTTCTATACTGATAAAACTTTAAATGGCTTGGGTATTGACAACCTGTGCGGAAGTCATCATCAGAGTCAAGTGAATAGTTGTTGTCAGTAGAATGTTCTTAGTCCAGTTCGTGTAAAATGATTGGTCAGTTTTGCCGTGATGTTATTGGCTGTAAGACTCAAGTACCGTAAGTCGGTCGTGATTGGTCTGTTTCGATCCGTCGGTGAAGTTAGGTCGTTCTGTTCGGTTTGTTTGTAATGTTAATGTCGTGAATGAGTCGTTTGTATAGAGCCGGTAGTAGTTGACACCTGTTTAGGGGAGTCTGTTCTAAGTTAGTAAACCAGCTTTCCAGAGTCAGTCTTGGAAAGTAGTTAGTGCTGTAGGTTAGGTATTGCGCAGAGTCCCAGTCAATATTGTGGTTCGTAAGTCGATAATGTTCAGCAATGTGATTGTTGACATCACCTTTCCTCGTCGCCCGTCTGTGTTCAGTCAGTCTTGTTGCATGGTTTCTGCCAGTCTCTCCGATGTAGGAGGCTTGGTAGTCGGAGCAACTGATCTTATAAATCGCTCCCTGTCTGTTCCTCGGTTCGTCCTTGTCTTTAACGTTGGTTACCGTTAGTAACTGACGTAGTGTTGTGATTGGTTTGTGGGCGACGCGGATATTTTAGGGTTGTAGGATGCGCGAGATGTTCTCAGACATTCCCTTTATGTACGGTATGGTTGCTGTAGTCGTAAGAGTTGCGGTGTCGTTTGTTTCGGTAGTGGTAGTGGGTCGGTGAGTGTTTTGTCAGATGAAGTCGTCGTTGTAGTTGTTCTTTGAAAAACCACGGTAAAGGTATTTGTTCTCGTTGGATAAGCTGTCTGTCGTGTTGGATACTAGTTGCGCGCGTTGCGTTAGAGTTCTGATAGTTGTGGCTTTGTGTGATGTAGGGTTTTAGGGTGACTCGTCTAGTAACCTGTCGATGTGTGTCGGTTTCCTGTAAACTGTCGTCAACAGCAACAGAAACTGGAAGCCCCACGGCTGTGCCGTGCAACTGCTTGTATTGTTTACTGTTGTACTGAAAGTAAGTTGACGTTAGGCAAAGGTTCAGTAAGTCCATAATGTCGTCTGTCGGTAGCGGTAGTGGGTCGGTCGATTGTCGGATTGCCTTTACTGATGACTTGCGCACAGGTTGTCTTACGTCACTTGAGTCTTACAGCCAATAACATCACGGCAAAACCAACCGATCATTACACTCGAAGTGGAATAAGAACATTCTACTGACAACAATCATTCACTTGACTCTAATGATGACTTCCGCACAGGTTGTCGAAACTTCAGTCACTACCACCGACAACAGTCCTTCCCATGACTACACTCACCCAGACGATCAGACTACACTTTCACATGTTACCCCCGGGTTCAAATCATTTACTACATTACTGCATATCTCTTAGTCATTAATTATCCTGGATGCTTATATTTCTTTGTAAGTTGTTAAAACGAATTGAGGAATTTTTCAATCATAAATGATATTTCACTTGTTTGCTGCTACTATATTTTCATCACGATTGGAAGTTAACGCTTCCATCCAAGGCATCTGATTCATAACTACTGACTTTCAAGATGCTAGACATTTCATTGATAATTTAGAGAGAGTTTGATCTTATATCCAGATAATACCCACCAACTACTATTTTGTTTGATTACCATAACTTTCTTTTTAAATAAAATGTTGAAAATTTAATCAACTGTGAGCGGCTCAAGGGTTAACGCTGGCAGAAAATGAATTTTTCCAAGGTTGATGACGTTGGATCAGAAGTATATAACCTCAAAGGCTTTTGTCAGAGCAAAAGAATTATTTGAAGTTATCGATTTGAAATATTTCTTGAATGCAAAATGAGTAGGAACCTTAAAACAATAGCTTGGTGAGGTAAAGAAATACGGGTCTCTCAAGCATCTGCATAGTTGCTCAATTTTGATGACCTCTGCAAGGAATTTACGATCAAAGGAAGGCGGTTAATCGAGGTTGCAAAAAGAAAAGATGAAACTACGAACTCACCGAGGTAAAAAAATCAGGGATGTAATTTTCAAAATTCATTGTCTTTAGTTGTCGCTGACAATATCTGACCAATTTCTCTTGTAATATTAAACATTCAAAGCGAACCCCAAGGAAAAAATTGACCTTAAAATTAAAAATGGTTCGGCTTGTGTGGCTCAGTCCCATATTTGTTTCTAAAAATAGTTTCTCTGAGTCATTTACAACCTTCCAAGCAACTAACTGACCAGACTAAAAAGAAAGCGAATTGCACTCAGTTGCGAAAACAGGAGATGACAGAAAACACTCAGGCCGTTATTTTGTTCGTAATCACCGCGTAAGAACACTCTTACACAATAAAGACTTTTATTTTGAACTAACCACCTTCTTCAGTTCCCGACGAATTTACTCATTGATTGGCGCAAAAATGGGCTTGAAAGACGAAATTTTAATGCTCTTCCTTCGAACAGATTCTTACGCTTACAAAGATCATATTTTGCCGGACAACTGAATTTTAATTTCTTTGACAAAAAATACTTCACAATATTTGACAATTCGTCTCGCGAGGAAACTTAAATTTAATCGCCAACTTTGGTTTTTCTTGACTAATATTTCCGGATTCCCTTACATACAAACACCTTGATACTTGTCTTTTCGGACTACTAATCTTCTTCCATGCACGGAAATGAAAACACCGAGGAAACCGCAAACTCAGTGAATACTCTTTACTGTTTGAAAAGAAAATTGTGGAAAATTCTGGGGTGCGACTACGGAAGGAAAATTCTTAACGAAACTTCCTGTCTGTAGATACCATCGCGTTTTCTCGTGAATTAACAATTAACAAAGCATTAGTGGATTCGTCAAATTTTGTTTGAAAGCCAATACAACCCCTACCATAAACCTAATTTTCAAACAGGTTTTTGCTTTTAACCTTTGATCGTGCATTTCTGAGTTGCTTAATTATGAATTAAATTGATATCGCTCAATTACTCTCCTAGTCAGTAAAGTAAGGGCTGTTTTGTATGAAGTGTTACAAGTTTCCTTCTACCAAAGAATACGTTTCTGTCCTAACCTAGATTACTTATCTCAGCACGAAAGCAATATTCAACATGCTCCATGGCTTCTTGACTGAATAACATTTAAACCTGATCATTCCTAACTAACCTCACATCTCAAATTGTTTATTTTTTAAATATCTACCCCTACATAAATTGGGTTTTTGCTCCATTTTAGCAATTGCATGAATGTTTTGGATGATGGCAAAGTTACCCAAAACTACGTAATACTGTGCTTTGTTTTGATAATGAATTAGCCCTCCTGTAGCTCTCGTTTAGCTCTCCTTTAGAGAGCCAATGATGTGGAAAGACTGCTTTCTCACACGGATATTCCTATATTGCATACTTATTAATTCTTACAGCATGCAAGATTTCATGACAACATCACTCAGTTCATCAGTCGTAGGCGTCGTGTTTCTTGAAGAACATTGCACCTTTCGCTCTTGGTTTCGTTGACTTCCTGGGGGTTTCAAACATTAGGTAAGTGTGCTGTGTTGCGGTATATTTTTATGAAACTCCGCAAAGCCATGGAGTAGAGGATGCTTGTCAACTGTTTTTACCGCAATGCAGACGTACATTTCAGACATCCCACACCCGAGGGAAGTTCATAAGCTTATTCGAATCTTTATAAATCCACAGATGGAGGAGATTAAGCTTTTCTGTTTTGTTTTCCCTTCCTGAAAGGTTGCTTATTTAATCCATGCGCCACTTCGCTTTCTGGTAACGAAAACGGAGAATTTGTAGTTCTTATTAGTTCAAGCAGCACTTTATTCGGTAAAAAAAAATAGTGAAAAAGCCAACTCCATTTCATTGGTGTTTTGCTTTCAAATGGGGGTAACGAATCAATTAAAGGGATTTTTCACTTAATCAAATTACTCTTATTGTACCGCAGGATTGCAGAGTTAATTGTTCAGAAAATCGAATTTGAAAAAGTTGTGCGTGGAAATCCGTCTGATAGTCAAGTTTAGATAATTTCGTCACCACCAATTAGCATCATATCTTAGAGACCAACTGAATGGATTTTTTACAAAGCAATTAATTTTTTCGATTAACTTTGAATTGTTCGCAAGGTATTTTCAGGGCGTAGTTATTGTTAGAACACTACTTTCTTATTCCTAATGAAAAATCTGTTAGTTAAGTCAATATCCTTCCTTAACTGAGTCAATACCGCGCAGGAATTGTTAACGAGCCATCCGTAAACAACAATCATATATTAGGGAATATGGGGAAAAGGTAAAGTGGGATGTTTTCGCAACTACTTTCAACATGGGATTCTTCAGTGATTGCAAAAGAGAAGATTGGCCATATATAGCCGATATGACTGACGAATCTACCCCTTCGTTGAAGCCAAAACTAACGAAGCTGTGTCGATTTCCAAATAGGTGATCTTTTACTAAGGCATCGAGGGGTACGCAATAGTACTTTCAAAAATAACACTTTCTATTACCTTTTCAATAAAATTAATTACCAAAATTTTCATCAATAATCTGTTTGCGAAAAAGAGATCTAATTTTGGAAAACTCGTATATTGGGAATTGCTCGGAGAGTTAGAGACTCTCCCAAATGTGTTCGAGAATGCGTTCAAAAAGAGATGGTCAACCAGTTGCGGATTGAATAGCAAACTTGATAGACGCCTGACGGTTTCCAAACCATTTCTGAAAAATAGATTAGCAACTGAATACAAAAATCGTTGCCGAGTGCAAAACACACGAAAAACCATAATCTTCTCGCGAACTTATAAAATGTTTTTTTGTGTGATTTTTTTGTGATTTTTTTTTTTTGTGATGCGTTTAATTAGCTTTTTTAGATTCTTGGGCTATTATGTCTACAGCAGCATTTTAGAATATTTAGTAGACACAACTAAAAAAGCTGTCATTAATTCATATTGGCCCGAAGGAAAATTTTCACTCCAGGTTTCTCTCTCTTTATTGTCCCTTTTAGCTATAGTCCAATTCCAACATGGCGTTGGTATAAAATCTCATAAATGCAACAGATACTTGATGTAAACTATTTGTGTGATATACTTACACTGTTGATGAGAAAAAAATCGTAAGCCCATGGCCTTAGTGGCTTCTCGAAGAAGATATTACCTTGTATTGTTTTACTACTTAAATGTTAATTGCACAATAACCCTCGAGTGGGAACTTGACTGATCAAAGGCTAAAATGCCGCAAACCTGTCAACAGATTCTCAATGAATACTTAAAGACTAAATTACTTTCTTCTTCATCCGACAATTATTGTTAAATGACACTTTGACATTATGGAATATGAGAATTATCGCAATTTATTAATTGAATTATATCCCACTTCAATAATTTAAGGTCTAAAACTATTGCAATGTCTTGTTCTTTGCAACCTGATTTTAAACAACTAGTAATAATTAAAACAATTCAGTTTCTGCTCGAAACTGTTGCCTTTCTTGCTTCGTTTTCTTACCATGCAGGGTACATTGAGTCCAATTCAGTTTGTAAATATTTGTCATGAGCTCCTATCTGTTCCATAGGAAGGTGCTAGACTGCTGTTGGCGGAAATGCGTCAAGTTCACGAAAGCAATATTGGGGGATGTTTTTGCGCGAAACATGACACCTTTTAATGACCACCTTTAACGTCACTTTTGCACGAAACTACTACAAACCATATTTTTTCTTTCTCGCGGTTAATTAATCCGGACCGTGAACAGATTGGAGAGTGCAAACCAAATTCGGGAAATGTGAGCGAAAAGTGGCATAAGCAGATGTTAGAGGGTACTAACGACGAATTGATAGTTGTAATTAATAGTTCATCCCTTTTTTCTCAGGACAACCCAGGGAGCTTTATTCTGAGTATATCATTAGGCGTTCCAATGTCTTAAACACTAAAAAGCATCACTAAGCAATGTACTCAAAGAAGAGCTATTCATCTGGGTCAGAAGACTTCAGGGGCTATGGCGATTCCAAAGCAGGTCGCGAGGTTGGAAGACCCTCGTTCGTATCAAGCCTTTCCATTGGGCCCAGAGAAGATAAGATTGAAAGGGAAATCTACCCCACAAAGGAAGCTTCTGAACGGGTCTCTGAGAACACAACAAAGTCTTTTGTGACGAGAAGTGTCACCGATAAGAAGTCAACCTCTTCTTACAGAACGAGTGAAAAAATCCAATCCGTTAAATCTAGAGATTTACCCGGGTATTCAGGCAATGATGCAGCAAGAGATCATATCTCTTCATTTTACTCCTCATACTCCAAAGGCGAAGACCTCAGCGATGCAGCAAAAGCAGATCAACTGGCCAATAAAAGCGAAGACGTTATCTCTTCATTTTATCAATCGAGTGTGGGTTTAAGAAAAGACAGAAGTGTTGACCGGAGAGCTAAGATCGACGAAGAAATTGGAGGATCCACACGAGCGACAAGTTATAAGGCTTCTGCTGCTGAATTGCATGCTGCCAGAGGAGTAAGCTGGAGGACTGACAAATCAACAGAACCCTACGGTAGCCTTAAACGTAGAGGTTCTTTACCGAGCTTAAAGGAAACAGACAAGGAAAATGGTGATCCTAAGACCATCACTTCGGAAAATATAAGTATTCTTAGAAGAGCTTTGGAAAGAAAGGAAGCATCTAATTCTCTAGAAAGAGAAAAACTGTCTAAAAAGTTTTCTAAAGAGGACAGTATTGATCTATCGAAATACACTTCAAATCCGTACAGAAAGACGACCTTACTAAATACTTCCAAACCAGGGAAAAACATCGTTGACGGGCGGGAGACGTTTGAGGTTGATGCAGTTATGAATGGTAAAGCAAGTGATTGGGGCATTTTGCCAAAAGAAATCAAAGCACGCTCCCGTTCTACTGAAAGCCTAAATGAAAAGGAAAGGAGCAGATCTGGAATCTATAGAGAGCTTCCTGGGAGAAGCGAGGTTTTGTCCTATTCCAGATCGTTATCAAATATCGGAACAACAGGACCTGACGATGACAGACGCTTTTCGAGGGAAGGAACGCGTACAGGATCACTTGATCGACATGTAGGCTCCGTGCATCGTTGGGACCGCGACGATCACAGCGGTCGCGCCTCATCTCTTTCAAGGGTACGAAGCCGGTCTTCAGAGGAGTTAAGGCCCTCGTATGACGATGAAGAGGTGAATCCAAGCTATAGATCTCGAACTCTTCACCGTCATGGAAATATCGATCGTGAAGACTCCTTTGACCGCGATGAGACAAGCAGGAGATATTTAACAACGAGAGAAATAAGCCTTTCGACTCGTGACAAGCTCAGAGAAGATATAGCTCGACTCAAGGCTGAAGCCGAATCTCGGACAGCGAAGAAAGATGTTAAGCTGTACTCGTTTAGCCGAGAGCCAACTATTCATGACAAGCTTAAGGAAGACATTGCGAAGCTCAAGGCTGAAACATTAACACGAGATCACGTAAAACCTTACGTTCCCCCAGCTTCTACAAGAGTAGAGTCTGTGAACATTTCTTCGAGATGGAGAAGTCGAGAACCTTCAGTTCAAGACAGACTCAAAGAAGACATTGCAAGACTGAAGGCTGAAACGGAGAAAATGTCCTCTATCCCCAAAGGGACCTCTGGTGTTACCACTGAAATAATCATTCCAGACAGAAGAATGGAGGAGATCGCAGATGTTCGTCATAGTGGAATTAGCAGAACTTCGGTCGAGAGATACAACGTGTCTAATAAGGATGGAGATGTGTTTAAGGATGTGTCGAGGAGCGAAGAAACAAAGAGGTTTGGTGATGCTAAAAATCCCGAACAAGACGAAATAACTCGTCGACGTAGCAGCCTAAGAATTGACAACAAGCCGAATTTACGAGATGAGCTCAAAAATGTTGAAAACGCTATTAGAGATAAAGCGGATTCAGCGCCTTCAGCAGACTACTTCCCTCCGTTCTCGGATGGCAGTATTCCATCCTCCACAAGGCCCAGCGAGGAAGCTGCGTCCATACTTTCTACAAGGCCAACTTTGTGGCCTAAAGAAAACGGGATTGGCTTCACAGAACGAGACAATTTCTTGACCACTCCCCGTGATATTTGGAACGAACCAACGCAAACAAGCAGGTCCTCTAAATTTCACACCGCTGAAGCATATGCAAGTAAGCAAGCGTTTAGGGCAGACTCTACCTTCTCCATATCATCAAATAAAGATGCTGAGGGTGGCCCAGGTTCTACTCAGAGATATTTTCGCGGAAGTCTGTCCAAAGAAAGTCGTTCAGCACATTATTCCAGAGAAATGGGTGATAAAGAAAACGGCTACCGCGACACCACCTCCGTACCAGACTCCGTGCCGAGACGGTCGCATGAAGAGACACCAAAGCCAGCTGCTGTACTTCGACCTCGAGATAATGCCATACCACTGCCTTATTCGGGATATAATAGTGTCTCTCACGGACGCAAAGATCCCAGTTTATCTCTGAAGGGAATGCAAGGCGAACCTGGTTATAAAGACAGGCGGGAGAGAGATGAAAGGCAATCGGTCAGGGTTCACTCAGATAGCGAATTCGTTACTAGAAAAACAATCAGAGATGACTCTGTCATTTCTCGGAAGAGGTACGAAGACGATACCTCCAGATCATTATCTTCAAAAGTAGAATCACCGAGATGTATCCCTGAGAGATCCAAACCCTCACCAAGAAGGAAAAGCACCCGTGATGACGAGCATATATCAGAGGAAAACAAGACTCGTTTCTGCGAGGAAATCGATGCTCCATTACCGGGATATAAGGAGATCAAGACATCACCCGTTATTAGTGAGCTCCGGAAGAAAATCGATCAGCTAAAAGATAAGGTCGATACACTGGATGACAGAAGAGCTAAAATGTACCTTGAAAGGTATGTGGATGACCACTCAGAGAGGAAACCAGATGTTGATATCAAGCCTCCAGTTCATATTAAGAGGTATCAACCAACCGAGCGCAAACCAGGCTCAGGCTCAGAAGTAGATGGTCCAGAGTCACATATAAAAAGAGAGGTATGTTATTATCCTCGAGCCTCATTGCATAAAAGTATTTCATATATCACGAAAGGAAAAGAAGGAAAAGCAATTGCGTAAAGAATACCACTCGCGTTTATCTAAGTTGCTAGTCATCCGTCCAGAGTCTTATCCCCACCCTACCTGGGTGTACATCTTTTCCCCGACACCTCGGTCTGCCATTTATACTTGTAGGGTTTTTTTTTTATTTGTACCTTAAACATTACTGAAATTGTCAGGGTTTCACTTTCTTATGCAACAAATTGTATGCAATAGTGATATTACGAGGGCATTAATCTTTATTGGGAAGACGTCCTGTTATTATGTGTCACGTTCTTCGAAAACAATATTCAGTTGCAAAAAAGAACGTTCCCTATATCACCAGGGGAAAAATGATTTAATGGATTTTTGGAATTAAAAGACTTTTTTCCTGACAGAGTATCACATCTGAAACAATTAGCCGCCAAATCAGTAGACAAACCAGCGAAGCCAGAACTGTCAGACAAACCAGCAGCATTCAAGAAGATGTGACAAAACAGCAGTTCCAAGGAGAAGAGGTCATATCTCCGACGAGTAAACTAGATCAAAAGACTACTGTTATAAAACCAATGTGTGATGCACAGACGATGACTCCTCCGGATATTCAGGAACACGTTGGAACTACTGTGATTCAACGACAAGACTCGATTGTAGACGAGCGAGACAGACTCAAAGAATTGAGAGGCATTCCTATAGACCACGGAAGAAGAACAGCCCAAATTGAGGAGGTAAAAAGGGTCCATTTCATGATCACAGTAGAAAACTTGATCTGCTGCCTAACAATCTGAAAAAGGGCGTTTCCTTAGTTGGGTCGTAGCCTGAAAGCAAAACCTATAGCCATTCTCTGCGCGAGCGGATTAGCCAAGTTGTGAATTATTTTAAATCGTTTCTGGCTGAATAGGTGGGCAGGGGACAAGAGAACGACACCGGGGTCACCATGATCCAAGTAGACAGTCAGCAACAAACCATATCACCAAAAAAGAACGTGCGAGAATGGTGGAATGCTTTCACAGCCGAAGACGTGGATCGTTTACTTGAACTTGGAAATTGGAGTCCATGGAACGCATACACAGCCGAGGACGCTGACAGAATGTTCTACGTGGGGCCTGTGAGAAGACGAAGCTTCCGTAGAAGGTAGAGTAGCGGCCGTAAATATTTAACAATTATTCCACTCGCGCTTGTTGGATATGAGATGATTATAGCCAACTCGGCGCTACGCGCCTCGTTGGCTATCTATCATCTCATATCCAACAAGCGCGAGTGGAATAATTGTTTTATTAAAAACGTTAAATTAAATTAAATTTTATTCAATTTTTAGCTCCCTTTTAATTTTAATCTGACACGTACGCTTGCCATATTTGTAGATTATGGTATATTGGCTGATATACCATAATGGCTAAGCCAATAAAAAGTCTTGAATTGCATTATCCAATGATCTAGTTTTTAATAATATATGTTATCTAAGCCGTGAGTTTCACAGAAAGCAAATATATATATATATATATATATATATATATAGGGGAAAGATTTCTTCGATTCCTTGACGCAAAATATGATCTTGCTTGTGTTAAAAATGTTTTTCGGAATATCTAACCCAACCTTTGGTTTGCAGGCAATAGGTCTCGTTGAGATCAGCCTTTATAGGCAACCATAAACCTTTTACTCCTAAGATTTATTTGGTAGTCCTCCTCTGTGCTTGCTCCTCACTTCATTGTAAATAATTATTGATTATTACCTTCTGGCTGGATCAAGTATTGATAAAGAAAGAATGAGTTAAATTTTCCTCACTTCTGGCAGTTAAGGGGTTTATTCCAAAAAATATTTCCTGTTATATTAAATTAAACACCAGAAGAATCAGGGGAATAACTTGAAGAACTTATCGACGAAGTTTCATCAGATTTAAAGAGCTTTGCAAAAAGCATCATTTGATAAGGAATAGTTTCTGTTTCAACTCTTAGTTCCCTCCGAAGATACCCGAAAATACGGCAGTAAAAAGACGATCCCGTTGACGTTCTCGTGAGAGTGCGTGGAAGACAAGAAAAACGGCGTCGCCCTCAATGCATCATCGCCCAAGCTGCGCCGGAAGAGAAAGCCATAGTACTGAGAGAGACAAAGGAGACTACAGAGCCCTATATCAGAAAGATTAAAGTCGATGATGTTTATGGAGCAGATGCTGTCAGAGTAGAGAATGGAGTCGTAAAAATTAAAGTCGGTGATAAAGGAAGGTAGGTTTTGGCGAGAAGTAGATGAACACAAGTTTTCCGCGCCTCTAGCAATCGTGGGACAGCAAAAAACTGATTGGTTTCTTGCTCTTTTAGCTATCTTGTATGGTCTCAAGCCTCTCGACCTCTCGATTCATAGCATAAAAAAAAACTGGTCAAAAGGACTTTTTTTATTTTGGATTGACTTTTGTTACAGCTTGTTTTCTTTTTCATTTAAATTTGAAAGAAATCGATCTGAAGTAAAATCTTTCCTAGCTTTTCCCCCTTTTTGACTCTGAACCGCATTATGAAAATCTATTCAGTACCGCTGATAGCTTTTCTTAGTGATAACGTATTCAAAACTCAACAACTTTTAAGATTACAATCCTATCGTTATTTTTTCATTAGGAAAACATGGGCAAGGATTCTACAGAAGAAAGATCACATCGTTGAGGTAGCTTTATCTTATCTAAGGCTTAAGCAAAGTTGAAAAGCATCTATATTCTAAATGTTCCCCGAAACACTAAGAATTATCGGTCGATTTTCATACCGTGCCACGATAGTTTAATTTGTTACTTTTACTAAGATCACTAAAGAACCTGAATAAAATGATTTATTTATAACGAAGAGTACGAATTTCCAGTCATACTCAATTGTATTTGTCAGTGCTTAGGATCAAGGCAAGAAAATTTGGCAAAAAGAAAGTTAGAATTTATCGCTCGTTTCATGCAGTCGAATTATTTAGTTTTGTGAATAATGTTATCAATGAGACCCCAGAAATAGAAGTCGATCTTTAAATCAGTATCTGAATAAATTCAATCATCATGTGTTTACAAAATCATCTGGTTTTTATCGTTCTTAGTCGGATGGCACCGTTATTGTCCCAGTTAGCGGTGACCAGTACGAAGACGGCATATACTACTCCAGTTGTTACAAAGGGGAACTGCAAGATGCCAAAGCGGTGCGAACACCAATAAAATTCAAGATACAAGAACAAAACGCCGCTAAATCTAACAAGATACGCGTCGCCAGAGAGATGAGAAGAACCGGGAGCATGAGACGGAGACGAAAAGCCGCTGCCAGAAGTCTATGTCCCTATATCGTGGGCGCACGATATTACAAAGGGAAGATAATGCTGACATGCGCTGATGCTAATCGATCCCAAGCCCGCGCTCAAAGTGGTCACCGAGAGATTGTTGTCAGGCAGCCACAAAGTAACTCGCGGGTATGCTTGCTAAAAAAACCTTGGTCCGAGTGCAACGATTGATAGTATAAGCTAAACGAAAAAGAAGGTCGGTTGAGACGGGTCAATGATCAGAAAGATCATCTTTTTTAATTTGACATCCATTTAACCAAATCGCACGAACTAAAGTGGCACACGCTTTTCCCTCAAATTTGGGTAAGCTGTCTTATAGTATCATCATTCATTAAGATTCCTTGAACGACCGGGAAAGAATTTTCTCACCCTTTTCAAGAACATTTATAGATTTCAGCAATTATTTCCACGTAAGTTCTTGATATATAGATTAAGAGCTGAAGAAACTTAACATTTTTGCATATCTATAATAAGGTAAATGTCTTGGATGGTTAGAAACGGAATCATGGTGAACAAAGAGTTACTCGAGGTGTTAAGGGATTAAGCGTGACTTAAGACTCAACTATGAAAGCTAGTAATCAAAAACATGTCATGATTTCTGTATAAAATTTGTCGTTGTTATATCTGTTACATAAAGGTTACAGGCAACGAAATAGTTCTGCGTCGCAGCTCCCAACCGCCTGCATTTCCGGTAAAGACCATTCAGGAAATCCACGAAGGCCACAAAACCACAAGTCACGCGGCCACAACCCGATCAGAAGATGGAAAGATGATCATCACTGTACACGCTGCCCCACCCCGACCACCACGTTTTAGCCTGAAACAAGCTGGACAAAACATGACGAGTAGCTCCTACTATGACAGTACTTCCGAGCAACGAGATGTATCGAGTGCTTCCGGAAATTATTTCGTATCCTCGACTTCTGGGCCTCAAGGGTACGTGACGTCATCCAGACCCGGCAGACATGGGAAGCAAGGTACCTCTTATTATGTCACTGATCCGTCCGACTCGTTTGGTCGTAGATCTGGCTACCACAGCGCATCTCGTTACCACTCTTCCAACGAACGATCTAGCACCCCAACTATTGTCCCTTATGGAGATGGCACAAGTCGAATAGGGACACAGAATGGTTCGTTTATAGCCAATCCATCGAGTTATTATGGGTTTTATAATGCACCGGGGTCAAAGATAGTCTCCTCGGACCCGCGTCTCAATGCAAGTACAGGATACGGAGAGAAATTCGATCTCCGAGATGACGGTGGCATCTCCTCGGTGCGTTACGTGAATGGAGCACGTCAAGGAAGTAGGATAATCAATGAAAGGTAGATATTTCATTAATCACTCAGATAGAACTCCAAGGTAAAAGCCAGTAGGTACGGGCAGGTGGTATGTCACACATGAATGTGACGGCAGTGTGACTTCGTTATTTTATAATCCAACAAGCAAAACATCTGG